GCCGTATAGAAAAGACATGCAAGAGAGTGACTGTGGGCACTCGTGTATATTTGTGCTGTAAAACCAAAGGAGGGTTAATAAAGTGTTAAAATCTTTCCCAAAGGTTCTTGGTACCAGACGCCTGATGCACATCAGCCATGACGAGTTTGAGAAGGTCATGAATGCCTGCTTTGAGGTCTTCAGCACCTGGGACGATGAGTATGAGAAACTGCAAGGCTTGCTGCGGGACATTGTCAAGAAAAAACGAGAGGAGAGCCTCAAGATGGTCTGGAGGGTCAACCCCGCCCACAAGAAGCTGCAGGGTCGCCTGGAACAGATGCGCAAGTAAAAACAATTAGCCCAGCTGCACTTGATGGTTACTGGAAGAATTACAATTTTAAATGCATTGAATAGGATAAGATGGAAAAGAATGGACCGAATGTTTAAATGGGTTTTGATCTGAATTGTTCTAATTATGCTTAGTGCTGCTGGCTCGAACTCAAGTTCATAGTGTCTTGATTACTAGGAAAGATGCTAAGCTTCTCAAGATTAAGTGACTGGTTCAGTACTGCAGCAGCCATTGAAGTGTTTTGACATTCAATTAAAATTTGCATCCCTTAAAGGACAAGTACATCAAAAGTTACTGACTGCTGCTATGGCTGGTGTGTTAGATTCTGTGTAGCCTTATGACCCTAACATGCTCATTGGCCAAGTGCCTTAAGATGTCTTCGTTAATAAGCTAAAGGTAACAGGTTGGAGTCTTAGCCAAGCAAGCTCGTGAATGTTCTCCAAAGCTGCCTGAAGCACAGAGTGTGTAGTGTCCTTATTATTACAAGAGGCATAAGCTCTGAAAATATACCAAACATTTAATTTGTCGTCTCTGATGGATTTTCTCTCAAGGTTTCGTCGACAGCACGAGCAACTTCGTGCCGTAATAGTCCGAGTCCTGCGCCCAGCTGTGACACAGGTTGCAGGGAGTCCAGGTACCACACCCGACGAGCCACCAGGAAACATCAATGAGCTGATAATGGATGCTGCTGATGCCAATGCCATTGAAGTTAGTCTTCCATTCAGACCTCTGAATTTTCCTTAATCAATTTTGTAGTGTCAAAGCTTCCAAACTGTTTGTTAGTTTTAAATGTCACTTCACAAAGTTTCCATTGCGGAATTTCTTAAGAGATTGATTTCCTTTTAAACGTTTTTTTCCCCACCTGCTGTTAAGTGCACAACACCGAAGGAAGCATGGAACTTTTCCTCAGATCAGCTGATTTCCTTTTATTTCACTTTATGCGCATGTTATAAAACTGGAAAGCACTGTACAAAGTTTTGTCAAGATTGGAATTCCCTCTTTGTTTTGTTTAGTCCGAGTTTCATGCCTGCAAAGTAATAGTGTTAAATTCTTCATAAAGACTTTCGATCAGTTAACAAACTTGAACAGAAATGAGTGAGTTTGGATTGATGTTTTTAGGAAGTGAATTTGGCCTACGAGAACGTGAAAGAGGTGGAGAGCCTGGATGTCAGCAAGGAAGGGAATGAGGCATGGGAGGCAG